CAAAAGAATCGTGACTAGTATAAATTATACAAGTTGTGACTAAATTTCCATTGTTTTTTATGTTACTATTTTTGTAACAATTTGTTACGAGTTTAGTAGGAAAATAACGTCACAAATAAAAACAAATTGTGACATTTGTGTGACTATAATCTAGTCTCTAATTGTGACTAATTGTGACATTATTTCGGTCGCATTTTGTGACGGATCGGTGACTCTAATGTGGTAAGAAATTGTGTCAAATAAGTGACTATATTTTGGTCACAATGTGTGACAAATTTGTGACAGCATTTTCTGTCACGAATTGTGTCGTTTTCGTGATTGTTTTCATATCGTCACAATTTGGGACGAATTGTTACCAATATTAAACGTTACAAAATTTTGTGACACTTTTGAGACTTAAATGGATTTGTGACGATTTTATTTTTACGTTTTAGAATTGGTATCAATTTTGTCACAATAAGTTTTTTGTGACGAAATATTTATTTATCGTGACCAAAAAAATCGTAACAATATTGACTTTTTTTTGTAGTGAACTAGCTTTGAAGTTGGAAACCACTCACACACAAATACAATGGTTACTTATGTGATTCATGTACAAGAATTCATGTACTTAAACTATTACAGAATCAATTAAAATAGCAATTGGTTCTGTAATAGTTTAAAAAAAAAAACTAAACCATGCATCTTTAACTTAACTTAATTATTACTTTATTACCCATACGTGTTGCTATTTTAGATCACTACCCCCAAGTTTTTGTGTCTATTATATATCAAAAAATACTTTATCTTATTATATAAAGGAGAATGCGCGCGATGAGAGTTTGACACGTAGGCAAAATTCTTAAGCATCAGATTATGACATGTGTGACTGTTAATTTAGATTGTGACATGTGTCAATATTAACAAAAATGTTGAAAAAAAAAATAAAAAATATATTCTAAACAGGGATTATGAACTAATTATGAAAAAAAAATGTTCTACTAAAATATGTAATATTTCCAATATTAATAAAAATATTAAAAAAATAAGGAATGTATTCTAAATAAGGATTATTGACTAATTAAGAAAAAAAAACCGTTTTACTAAAATATGCAATATTTCTAAAATTTTATATTACAAAATACATTATTTTCATTATAAATATAAATTATCTAATTAGTTATAAGACAAAGTCATATTATAAGTGTT